TTGCTGGAGCCGCCTAGCCCACAACACCATCATACAGCTATCCTGTGCAAGAAGAGATCCTCAACTTGGGAAACAAAGTAGTTAAACCCTGTGCTTAGTTGTGTGTAAGCACTTCCACTGAGGACAAGGAGAGAGAAAAAATAAAACCCCCAAAGACTGACAACAGAGAACAGTTTGAAGTGCTTACTCTTGTATTTGCAAGATGACTGCCGTTTGCAAGATTGCCAGAAACCCAGGGTGAGCTCTCAACTCTTCCAAGCCTTGGAAGACTGAGACTGTCCCAGTTTCAGGATTCTCAGTTCATAGAAGATTTCCCATTCATCAAAATTGGTGTGAACAGCCTCAAAACCAAACTATTCCAAAGCTTTATGCTTACTCACTACCTTTTATCTCAGTCAATTCTGGTGACTGTGAGTGACAACAACTAAAAAAACACCCAAACTCTTTTTCTGGCCAACTGCAGAGGTCTTCTTTCAGTGGAAGGCCATTCCAGAAACCCAGGGTGGCCTGGAAACCCACCATGTCAGAGTCTAAAGCACAGGCTGACATCCAGGAGCTATTAGTAGGATTTCCTTTAAATCCTATCTCAAGTTCACCTGCAGACACCTAACACAAGACTCACTTAACAGGAATTTCTTTAATGAAATAACCTGGAAAGTCTCCAGCTAGCTTCCTGAAGGATTGCTATTTCTTATCAGCTATAAAGAGTGGCTCATAGTAACACGATGCCACATTCTTTCAAGGATTCAGTACAAAGAGCACCACTTTCTGAGAAGTCCAGGACGAGCTCTTCAGCGTAAATCCTAAAAAAAAAATCCCATCATTCTCTTCAGCCTTTACAGAGTCTTCAGATGCCTCTAGTTCAATGTCTGACCCATCCCAAAATAAGATATAAGACAGGGGCACCAGTTTGGGCACCAGGAAACACGCTATGCCCAAGATAAAAGAAGGTCTGTAGGACGTACACCTGAAATGCCTTAACTTACAATGGAATTGCTGAGGTTCTTCATTCTCTCCACAACACTCTTCATTGTTTTCAGCACTGGTAGGTAAATACTGACCTAGAAAGACATAAGAACTGCATTTGCACACATATTTCATGTGACTGGGATATGATGCATTTATTTCTCCCTCAATTCTGTGTTATTTTGGATTTGCTTATCTATTGAGTGCAGGGAGTATAATGTTTAACTGAAATCAGCAAATGACTCGGGAACAGAGTTTTTCCCACTATACCAAAAGGCCATGGCTCTACTAATTGCTTCAAACATACTATCCCAAGTCTGTGCTCAAAATAAAACAGAGACAGGGTTTTGCAGATCAGATTCTCACATGAACCCACGTCTGTGTTGCCAAGCAGTTAATAATTACTATAGCCAAAAAAGAAAGAACATGATTCTCATGGTACTGTAATTGTTTCTGGAACTGCATCGGTGTAAATCTGAAATGACAAAATAAATCAAGTTTCTACCAAGTCACACGTTTTTCCAGAATTTAAACACTCTCAGCCATAGCGGTAACAGACATCCGTAACCTCAAATAGAAGGACAGGTTTGGGCAACCTGGTGTAGTGGAGGGTGTCCCTGCCCGTGGCAGGGGGGTTGGAACTAGATGATCTTTGAGGTCCCTTCCAACCCAAACCACTCCATGATTCTATGACATTTGTACGAAAACCTTTCCTTGCAACTCTGCGAAGTCACAAAGGATACAGAGAGGATATACAGGAATCAGGAGGAAACACCTTGATATCTAACTCTGGCCACGAATTTCAGAAAGAACAGATGACTTGGGCCACTTGGCACCTAAACAGCTGAAACTAAACCATGTGGTTTGCTCCTGCCTAAAGCTGTGCAGGTCCTTTGCTCCTCCCTTCCTCCGCCCGGAATACCACAGCAACAGCTGGTACCCACCTGCTCTGCTTTCCCAGGTTCTGGACTCTCTTGGCAAGACGGAAGCCATGTCCCATCCCTCTCCAAACCTCTAGCCTCCCGCCTTCCCTCTTTCCATTCACCTCCTCTCCAAAACCCACCGGTAGCATATTCCACAGCAACAGCACTCCACTTGCAACCCCCCCTTCCCGTAGGGAGTATAAAAACAGAGGCTTACATCAAAGTCTGGCACACTGGGCTCTCTGAAGTCATTCCATAATCTTCTGGGAATAACCCCCACAGGAATGTCATGCGTCACAATCCTATTGCTGCTTGATAAGGACGGCTTGAGGGAGAGAGAGGATGCTCTTGCAGTTAAAAACATGACTTGAATTCTGAAGTCAAGTTTTTCAGACTCACTCTAGGGAATACTATAACTGAGTGCCCGGGACACTCAGTTCCAGTTTTCCATAGGTTCGTATTAGTCATTAGTATCTCAAGCTATCCTTCAAGCTGAAGAGGTGAAGGAGCTAAGAGGTGTTAACAGCAAATAAAATTCAGAAGACAGCAGTTTGAAACTGAAAACAAAGAGCCAAACACTACACTGAAGCCTCCTTCACCTAATGGCTTCAATGAGATGGCAATAATCCACAGAAGATTGAGAGAATGAAAGATGGGAGTAAAGTGGACAGTAGAAAAAAGTGTTATGATCACACAGCTTTCATTCTTCCTCCACCTCTTGCTTACCTTTTGGAAAATACAAAGCTGGTTCTGTGTGCTACCAACCATGGTGGCAGGAAAGGCTAGTGCAATAGAAAAGGGCATGATTCTTCTTTATTTAGTTTTCTAGAATTACACCAAAGACTACCAGAGCTTTTATTTGTTCTTAGGAAAAGCACTCAATTTCAAAGAGATTTTTCTTAATGACAAAGATAAAAGCACAACTGCACTTACCAGCTCCACAGCAACTCTGAGGCAGGGACAGTGTTTGTTAGTCAACTTGATCTTCACTGCCTTGGCACTCTGGGCAGTTTTTAACGCTCTCGACAGGTTCTCGGGCACCAACTCTAAATAGATTTCATTGTGCTCTGCAGCCACTCCTTCCATCTGAAATTCATCGAAGAAATTCCCCTACGATTTTTGAAAGTTGGGAAAGAAAATAAAGCAAATAAAAAAAAAAAAAAGCAGTGTTACCTATCAAACCTTAAGCTTAGAACTGCACGAGTACAGCAAGAAGCTTTCCCGCGCCTGGCATCACCTGCAGAAATCAAGACAGGCTGCATAAAGCACGACGACCCACTGCTTCAGGTCAAACCTATGAATGTGGGGACCCACCAGTCCCCAAAACAAGGGGTGTGACGGGTGAGCCCCACTTTCCTGCTCCTGGCTTCGGGCATGCCCGCGCGGGCCGGCACACGCTGTGGCTTTACGCGGGAAAGACGGACAGCAGTGCCCGACGCAACGGGGATGGACGTGTCTCGCCCGAAACGCCAGGCCTGGGCAACCGGAGGGCAGTGCTGCCCGCGGCGGGCAGACAGGTCTGGGACACCGGCGCACCGCGGGCGAACGCTGCGCCCCATATCCCGCACCCGGCGCGCGCGCCCCGCCTTCCCACCGCGTGCCGCTCCCGTTGCTCCCGCTCACCTG